GGCAAGAGAATCACTTAACCTGAGTTTGAGGTTGCTGTGAGCTGTGATGCCATGGCACTCTACTAAGGGCAAGATAGACTCTGTCTCAAAAAATAAAAATAAAAATAGCTGGGCCTTGTGGCAGGCAGCTGTAGTCCCAGCTACTTGGGAGACAAGAGAATCACTTGAGCCCAAGAGTTTAAGGCTGCTGTAAGCTATGATACCATGTCACTCCACAGGTGACAAAGAGAGACTGTCTCAAAAAATTTTTTTGGTGTCCTGAGTCATTAATACTACCCTCTGGCTCTTCCCCAGCCCACATTCCTAGATTTAATCTTCTCATACCTGTTCACTGAGAGGATCCTGACTTTCTGGGAGGAAAAACTTTTTACCTATCCCTAGGGAAGAAGGGGTAGGTAAAGGCAGGGAAGAAACTCCCCTGCCTCAGTGGGAGTTTACGGGCTTACCTTGTTTCTTCCTTAGCCACTCTCCTTTTGATTTGTCTCTCTTTTTGTGTGTGTGTGTGTGTTTGTTTTTGTTTTTTTGAGACAGAGTCTCACTCTGTTGCCTAGGCTAGAGTACCGTGGTATCAGCCTAGCTCAGAGCAACATCAGACTCCTGGGCTCATCGATTCTTCTGCCCCAGCCTTCCCACCAGCTGGGACTACAGGTACCTGCCATGACATCCAATTAATTTTTCTATTTTAGTAGAGATGGAGGTCTCACTCTTTTTCAGAATGGACCTGAATTCTTGCGCTCAAGGGATCCTCCCACCTCAGCCTCCCTGAGTTCTAGGATTACAGGAGTGAGCCCCACACCTGACCCTTTCTGATTTTTCAGCTCCATTCAGGCCAGTGTCTTTCAACTCTACAAACAAGACAAACTTTACCTTGTCTTGGATAACCCACTGCATTATGAGCACCCAGCTCCACCCTTACTCCTGCTAGCCAGTTGCTCAGTAGTGTTTTGACCCTTGTGAGACAGTTTTGCTTGACCTTCAAGTCAAGAAGTCCAGCTAACCCATCAGTTGGACCTCTGTCCTCCCTGAAGGGGCACATTATCGGCTGTGTAAGTGGCATCAAGTGTAAGTGACAATTTGAGGGATTTTTTTCTATTTTGTTTTATTTTCATTTTGGGGTGACAGCACACTCTTCATAAAGCTATTTTAAATTGAACATTTGGGTAATTATGATGGGGCCATAATTCCCCCCAATAGTTAATACTTTCAGGGTTGTTTTGTCTTTTTATTTTCCTTTTGTGAACATGCATCCAATTCAAGTCAGTTGAATCTGGAGAAAATAAAAAGCAAATCAGGATTCACTGGGTTGAGATCTGGTAATGCAATCAGATTTTGCTCTCTCTCCTTGGGAGCTTGGGCTGAAAGGGGTGTGTATGTGTGCCTAGAAGAACCTGTCATAGCTTCTGAGGGGCCAGAGGGACCCAGGGAATTGGAGCATTGGAGCCAATGCTATGGTCACCCTTGAGGTCTGGGTAGGCAGCTCCCAGTACCACGCCTTTATCTGGTGAGTCAGGACCCTTAGGCTCCGCACACTGCCATCTCCCCACCATCAGCCAGGCTCTCAAAGGTCTCCATCAGCCATGCAGGCCCACTCTGCATACACAGTTCTATTTTCTTTCTTTACAAATAAGCAGGTTTTTTGCTTTTCTGTACATGTGATTTTGCCTTAATCCCAAACATTTATTTTTTGGTTTATAGGGTTTATTTTTTATTGATATATGATAATTGTATACATCTATGGGGTACAGGTGATACTTTGATACATGCCCATAATGTGTCATAATCAAATTATGGTAATTAGAATATCCACTACCTCAAACATGTATAATTTCTTTGTTTCGAACCCGAGACATTTTGATTTCTGCTATTTTATAGATGTTTAGAGTAGTTTCTTTTGTTTTATTTTCCTTTTGGAGACAGTGTCACTAGGTCACCCTGGGTAAAATGTCATGGCGACGTCTATCTGGGTTCAAGGAATTCTCTTGCCTCAGCTTCCCAAATAGCTGGGACTACAGGCACATACTATCACACCCAACTAGGTTTTTTGTTTGTTTGAGACAGAGTCTCACTGTGTCACCCTCAGTAGAGCACCGTGCATAATAGCTCACAGCAACCTCAGACTCTTGGGCTTAAAGCTATTCCCTTGCCTCAGCCTCCCAAGTGGCTAGGACTATAGGTGCCCACCACAATGCCTAGCTATTTTTTTTTTTTGAGACAAAGCCTCAAGCTATCCCCCTGGGTAGAGTGCCGTGGTATCATGCTCACAGCAACCTCCAACTCCTGGGCTCAAGCAAGTCTCCTGCCTCAGCCTCCCAAGTAGCTGGGACTACAGGCGCCCACCAAACCGCCCGGCCATTTTTTTGGTTGCAGCCATCATTGTTGTTTGGCAGGCCCGGGCTGGGGATTCGAACCCGCCACCTTAGGTGTATGTGGCTGGCGCCTTAGCCACTTGAGCCACAGGCACTGAGCCCGCCTAGCTATTTTTAGAGATGAGCTCTGGCTCTGGCTCTGGCTCTGGCTCAGGCCTGTCTCGAATCCATGAGCTCAGGCAGTCCACCCACCTTGGCTTCCCAGAGTGCTAGGATTACAGGTGTAAGCCATCTTACCCAGCCTAGTTTTTCTGTTTTTAGTAGAGATGTGGTCTCTCCTGTGCTCAGGCTGGTCTCAAACTCCTGAGCTCAAGCAATCCTCCTTCCTTGGCTTCCTAGAGAGCTAGGATTATAGGAGTGAGCCATCTAGCCAGCCTAAAATAAAGTGGGCCCTTCTCTCTTGAAGGAGCAGAGGTGAGAGAGACTCTAAAGTAGTTTTGTTCTGGAGACAGAGTCTCACTTTGTCACCTTCAGTGGAGCTCTATGACATCATAGCTCACAGCAACTTCAGACTGTTAGGCTCAAGTGATCCTCTAGCCTCAGCCTCCCAAGTACCTGGGACTACAGGCGCCTGCCACAAGGCCTGGCTATTTTTAGAGATGGGGTCTCACTCTGGCTTAAGCTGGTCTGGAACTTGTGAACTCAAGTCAATCCACCTGCCTTGGCCTCCTAGAGTGCTAGGATTATAGGCATGAGCCACCGCACCCAGCCCCATAAAGTAGTTTATTGAAATAGCTTTTTTGGGACATAAGGACATCTAATTAAGTAGAATATTACTTGATTATGTTCTAAATATTTAGTGTATAGTCATTAATTATAGCTTGTATGATTTATGGTTTTGTGAATTTACTAATTAGGGTTTTAAAAAAAAAAACAAAACTAAAAGCTTGAAAAGTATTCCTTAAACCGGCACCTGTGGATCAGTGAGTAGGGCGCCGGTCCCACATACCGAGGGTGGCAGGTTTGCACCCAGCCCTGGCCAATCTGCAACAACAGTTAAAAAAATAGCCGGGTGTTGTGGCAGGTGTCTGGAGTCCCAGCTACTCAGGAGGCTGAGGCAAGAGAATCTCCTAAGCCCAAGAGCTGGAGGTTGCTGTGAGCTGTGACACCATGGCACTCTACCAAGGGTGACAAAATGAGACTCTGTCTCTAAAAAAAGAAAGAAAAATCCTCCATAGTGGAGTTTTTCCTTTTTTTTTTTTTTATTCTTTTAGAGACAGTCTCACTTTATTGCCCTCTGTAGAGTACAATGGCATCACAGCTCACAACAACCTCTAACTCCTGGGCTTAGGCGATTCTCTTCCCTCAGCTTCCCGAGTAGCTGGGACTACAGGCACCCACCACAACACCTAGCTATTTTCTATTGCAATTTGGCCGGGGTCAGGTTTGAACCTGCCACCCTCAGTATATGGAGCCGGTGCCCTATCACTGAGCCACAGGTGCCTCCCAAGTGGAGTCTTTTTCAAGAGGTCTTTAACATATAGAATAGTGACTATAGTTAATAACAATGTATTGTATACTTGAAAATTCCTAAGAGTAGATTTTAAGTGTTCTCATCACAAATATGTGAGGTAATAGATATTTTAATTAGCTTGAGTTAGCCATTCTACAATGTAGACTTATTTCAAAGCATCATGTTGTTGACCAGAATGTATTCAATTTTTGTCAATTCAAAAACTAACTTTTTTTTTTTTTTTTTTTTAGACAGGGTTGCACTCCGTCTCCCAGGTTAGAGTGAACTGGTCTCAAGCAATCCTCTTGCTTCAGTCTCCTAAGTAGCTGGAACTACAGGCATGCACCATCATGCCCAACCAATTTTTTTATTTTTTTATAGAGACAGGTTTACAGGTCTCACTGTGTTGGCCAGGCTAGTCTCAAGCAATCCTCCTGCCTCAGCATCCCAAAGTGCTGGGATTACAGTTGTGAGCCACAACACCCAGCCAAAAAATAAAGGAGTGGACGCTTTTTTCTACTGTGAAGTATTTCAATATCAAAATGGTAATTCTAATATATGTAAACAGGACACATATTAAACAGCATATATTGTAACATCATATCTTGGGGGAAAATGCATCTATCAGAATTGGTGTCTTTTCATCTCTTAATTTCTGAATGCTGTGTAATACTATTATGCTGCTTTCCTATATAAATTTTTTTAAAAAAATATGATGTAACAGCACCCATTGTGGGTATATGCCTTATCTTTCTCATCTGGCTTATTAGAGCTGAGAAGGATGCTGGTCTTGGCCATGTGACACTCTCCTTCTTTGATAATCAGAAACTTTTTCCTGAATTAGGGTAAGGTCAGCTCTCAGCCTTCTCCGGACTAACTCCCTAGAAGGGGCTAGAATTAAGAGGGGAGGTGAATGGACATGGGATGGGTGCCTATGCTCATCCTACTGCCTACCTGATGCTTAGTGAGATGCTTGCCCTGGTGCCAACAGGAAGAGTTGTGGCTTTGTGGCCACCAAGTACAGAACTATGATGGGGTAAACTAGTGACTGACTCCTTTGCCGTTGTCAGAGCAGTGACTTTGGCCTTGAGTCATTCCCTTGGAGGGGTGGGGAGAAGATGGAGTTCCTTGTGCTTGGCCTGAAAAGACTGACTTGTTCCCCACCTGTCCCTTAGGATTCCTTTCGGAGTGTATTCATCAAGATGAGCGTGTGGACCAGCCCACCCAGTCTGCTGAAGCTGGCGGGGCAGAGCCTGCTGAGGGATGAGGCCCTGGCCATCGCTGCTCTGGAGGAGCTGCCCAGGGAGCTCTTCCCACCACTGTTCACAACAGCCTTCTTCGGGAGACACAGTGAGACCCTAAAGGCGATGGTGCAGGCCTGGCCTTTCCCCTGCCTCCCTCTGGGGGTACTGATGAAGGAACAGCAGCCCCACCAGGAGACCTTCTGGGCTGTGTTGGATGGGCTGGATGGGCTCCTGGCCCAGGAGGTTCGCCCCAGGTGAGGGTGACCAGCAGCCTGGGAGGGCCTTTGGGAATCTAGAAAACCAAAGTGTGGGCAGGAGGCTCTGCTGACAGTAGGGAAGCCCAGGCAGGCCTTGTGACCGTTGCTGGGGTCAGTGTGGGAATGAGCTTCTGGATGTGGAGTGATGAAGATGCAGAGGTGACTGAAAGGACGTGTACAGGAATGGGGACCTGGAAGGATGACAGGATTCCATCAGGAGAGGGAGCAGCTGACATCTGGAGTAAAGGTGCAGCTCAGACTTCTGGGTCTTGCCTAGATTCTGAGATGCACGGTTTTATTCCAAGCTGATGTTAAGGCATCTCACCCAATGGCCTGTTTTTCCCCATAGGAGGTGGAAACTGCAACTGCTAGACTTACGGAAGAATACTCATCAGGACTTCTGGACTGTGTGGTCTGGAACCAAGGGCAGTGTGTGCTCACTGCTTGATGCAGAGGCAGCCCAGCCCATGAGGAAGAAGCAAAAAGTGGGTGATTTGTGCACAGGAACAGAGCAGCCCTTGGCTCCCGTGGAGGTGCTCATCGATCTAGCCCTCGGGGAAGGGGCCCAGGATCAGCTGCTCACCTATCTCATTGAGAAAGTGAAGCAGAGGAAAGGTTTACTGCAGCTGTGCTGTAGGAAGCTGGAGATTTTTGCCATGCCCATACACAATATCAAGATGATCCTGAACCTGGTGCAGCTGGACTCTATCAAAGATCTGGAAGTGAACTGCACCTGGAAATTGTCCACCCTGGGCAAGTTTTCTCCTCACCTGGGCCAGATGAGTAACCTGCAGAGACTCCTCCTCTCCCATGTGCACATGTCATCCTCCATGTCCCTGGAGGAGGAGGAGCAGAATGTGGCCCAGTTCACCTCTCAGTTCCTCAAGCTGCACCACCTCCAGGAGCTCTACTTGGATTCTGTCTCCTTCCTCAAAGGCCGCCTGCACCAGCTGCTCAGGTGAGAAATAGTGCAGTTTCTCTGCACACCAGAGCAAGCCCTTCTTTGTTACAGTAAACAGTAAGAGGCATCTTCTGTGTGCCAGCTACAGACAATGGGAGAGTGAATGTGTCACTAGTAGTTAACACATTGTCTTGTTCACTACTCTGTCCTCAAGCAAAGAATGACATGACTACTCAGATGGAGGTTACAGGGTTAGACCAGGATGCCAGTTGCAGTGACTCTTTGCTAAGAGAAACTCTATACTGAGGGGTTGGGACCTGGGTTTGGGATGTCTTCCTTTGGAATTGATGTGTTAATGAAGATCAGCAAAATAAGCGAGGAGGGGACTGAAAGCCCAGAGGTGCTGGTTTGTAAGCTCAGCGCTCACAAGCTTCTCGTCATGACCCTCTTCTTCCAAACCTTCCTTACATTTCCTGCCTGTAAAGGTTTATGTGAAAAATGCAAGATTCTGGAATTGAAGCAGAGGAGGGCAGAACTGTAACATGATAGGTGGGTTGCTGATGACACGATGATCTAAGGCAGCTCCTGCAGCCTGGCAGGCCCCTGTGGGTGTTGCCGACCTTGCCCAAGTTTGTCCTTTATGAATGTTTCCTAGTAGCCCCATCAGGCGCAGAATTAGAGGTGGCTGGGCCCCAAGAGGTGGCCAGAAGGAAGCACAAGTTGAGAGTATTGTCGGTCATGTCTTTGCACTCTAAAACTCACCAGTGCCCTTGCTTGCTTGACACACAGAGTCCAGGCTACCTGAATTCATTCTCACACACTTAGCCGATTGATTTGACCCAGTTACAAAGAAGATAAGTAACAGAAAAAGGAGTTTGCTGGGACTTGGCACTCATTTCAGTGTAATACAGCATCTTATGGGTTGTCCATTCTTGGGATGACTTTGGGTTTTGGCAAAACAGGCCTCTCTGTAGTCTGCCCACCCCCTCCACCCTTTACCCCTACTCCCCAGTACTAACCTCTCTCTTTCCCCCCAGGTGCCTCAAGAGCCCCTTGGAGACCCTCTCGATAAGTAACTGCCAGCTTTCAGAATCAGACTTGACGTGTCTGTCCCAGTGCCCCAACATTAGTCAGCTAAAGGAACTGGGTCTCAGTGGGGTCAACCTGACCAATACAAGTCCTGAGCCACTTCAAGTGCTGTTAGAGAGAACCTCCGCCACCCTCCAGGACCTGGACTTAGATGAGTGTGGGATCATGGATGCTCAGTTCATCACCATCCTGCCCACCCTGGGCCGCTGCTCCCAACTCACCACCTTCAGCTTCTGCGGGAACCCCATCTCCATGGCTGTCCTGGAGAGCCTCCTGCACTACACTGTCGGGCTGAGCAAGCTCAGCCATGTGCTGTATCCCGCCCCACTGGAGAGCTACGAGGACGTCCGAGGTACTCTCCACCTGGGGAGACTTGCCCACCTGCACGCCAAGCTGAAGCGGATGCTGCACGAGTCAGGCCGGCCTGGCATGGTCTGGTTCAGTGCCAACCCCTGTCCTCACTGTGGGGATAGGACCGTCTATGACCCGGAGCCCGTCCTCTGCCCCTGTTTCATGCCTATCTAGATGAGTGCACATGTCAGAAGCTTTATTCTGGGCACTTAGACACTGAATCCCAGAATGTAAGTGCATCTTTAAGCAACATGGTAGCCATAGTTTCAGACAACTGCTCAGTGTGAGTGGGAAAAAGAAAAGCAATAGGGGTGGAGGGGCTCACGTTGACTTGAGTTGATGGGATTATCATTGGGGAGATGCATCCTGTAGAGTTAGAAAACAGATCTGAATTTCTAGAGGGGAATTCAGGCTTGGGAGATACATGTGGGTGTTGTCCCCACAAGTATGGTTATTAAAAAATGGTTAGAAATAAAGTGATTGTTCTTGCAAAGCATCTGGTATCCTCTTTGGTATTTCAACATGTTTTCCCAGTTAAATCTCAGGAATCCCCAGTTACTGATTAAGAAGGCATTGAGCACCCATGATACATAGGCTAGACTGAGTAGAAGCTCTGTCTGCAGATCTCATGCCACTATATGTCATTCCCTCCTTTTGGTTTCTCCCTGGGATATCTGTGACCTGCTTGCTTGTTTCTCTGGCTGTTCAGCAGTTCAGAGCATGCCAGGTGCAGTCTCATGGCCTGGAACATCCTAAATGGCCTATAGTAAGCAGTGCTGGAGGAAAGGATTCTTTACAAGGCCCTCACTGCTGACTCTACTGAGATCCCGGACACTGTCCTCTGGGTTCTTTGTGGATACATGAGCCTCCATCTCTGGCCTTCGGCTATGCTAGTATAGGGCTTCCCTGTGAATAAGTCAGGTCCTCAGTACTAGAAGAGGATGTCCACCCTCCAGAGGAGCCAGTCTCTGGCCCTTCCTGAGCCTCACCAAACCGTGCGTCCCATCCCTCCAGGTCCAGCCCTCTCGATAACAGTTGTGCCAGCTAAAGACATCCAAATTCCTTTTAGCAAAACACTAAGAAAATTCGTTTAGTATTTGTATCCCACATTAAAAATAGGGCATCCTTTTGTTTGTAGTCTTATCAGTAAGAAAAAGACTTTCTGGGTGGCGCCTGTGGCTCAAGGAGTAGGGCGCCGGCCCCGTATGGTGGAGGTGGTGGGTTCTAGCCCAGCCCCAGACAAAAAACTGCAAAAAAAAAAAAAAAAAAGAAAATGACTTTCAACCTGTAAGATTACCCCTCCTTCCTTATGGAGGTGCTAAACTGGGTCTGCACCATAGTGGTGGCATAGATTTGGGGTCCCCATGGTGGACAAACCCTTGTCCTAGGCAACAGGGCAAAGAAGATAAATGTCAGACTTTAAGTGACACTGGGGGTAGATGAGGGCCGCTGTGCAGGACAATTTAAAAGAAAGGGAGCTGTCCTATGGGGTTGGACCCTGTAGTCCTTGGGCAGTTGGCTGCCTGCCATGCTCCCATGCTACTAGGTGACCTCTTTCCATCTCTGCACAGCCTCCCAGAGAAGTGCTGCAGGAGTAAGACCACACACCATTGCCCGTGTTGCCCTGCACGTTTCCCTGATTACGAGCATGGCTGCTTCAATTGTTTCCCTTCCAAGGCCTCTCCCTTGGTGCTAGTCACTCCTGTGCATGCTGCTGTCCTTGCTGGCTATCAGCAGCTTCCTGTCTTGCCACCCACAGTAGCTGGCTCCTTATCCTTCTTTCTTCTCTTCCCTACCTCCAACCTTTTACGCTAAGGTCCTTAAGAAACAGAAATGAGAAAGGCCAGGTGTGGTAACTCACACCTGTAATCTCAGCACATGGAAGGTTGAGGCAGGTGGAATGCCTGAACTCACAGGTTAGAGACCAGCCTGAGCCAAAGCAAGACCTCATCTCTAAAAATAGCCAGCATTGTGGAGAGTGCCTGTAGTCCCAGCTACTTAGGAGGCTGAGGCAAGAGAATTGCTTAACCCCAAGAGTTTGAGGTTGCTGTGAGCTGTAACACCACAGCACTCTACCAAGGATGACTGACTCGGTCTTTAAAAAAAAAAAAAAAGATGTTGTAATGTCCTTATGTAGCAAAAGGAGAAACAGGCAAAAAAGGATAGCCACTGTGTGAAGTCTCCTTCATAGGGACATTAATTCATCCATGAGGCTGGACCCCCTCATGGCCTAATGATCTCCTAAATGTCCCACCTCTTAATCCTGTCACACTGGGTCTTCAGTTCCAACATAATTTTGGAGGGATTCATTTGGACCATAGCACTCCACTATTCCAGAACTTTTAATGCAGGATAACAAACCATTTCTTAAGTATAAACTCCTTTAATCCTAAGGGCATACCTGTAGAGTCCAAGAATATGAGGGCTTAGCAGCGCCGGTAGCTCAATGGGTAGGGTGCCAGCCACATAAACCAAGGCTGGTGGGTTTGAACCTGGCCTGGGCCAGCTAAACAACAATGACAACTGGAACAAAGAACAGCCAGGTGTTGTGGCAGGCTACTGTAGTCCCAGCTGCTTGGGAGACAAGGCAAAAGAATTGCTTAAGCCCAAGAGTTGGAGCTTGCTGTGAGCTGTGGTGTTACAGTACTCTACAGGGGTCAACATAGTGAGACTCTGTCTCAAAAAAAAAAAAAAAAAAAGGAAAGAAAAACAGAAGAAATGTGAATCTGGAGCAGAGAAACACTCTTCTCTCCCGTCCTTGGACTTCAGAACTCAAAGCTCTTTGGACTTGGAACTCCAGAATGTGCACCAGTGGGCCCCAGGGTTCTTATGCCTTTGGCACTGGACTGAGAGTTACACAGTCAGATTTCCTGGTTCTGGGCCCTTTAAACTTAGACCAAACCAGTCTGCCAATATCCAGTGGTCTCCAGCATGCAAATGGCTTGTCATGGGAATTCCCAGCCTCCGTAGTTACAAGAGCCAATTCTCCTAACATATCTCCTCTCCTATATCTATACCAGTATCTACCTTATCAGTTCTGTCTCTCTGGAGAACCCTAATGCTGTGCTCCACATAATCATTATATTAGGTACTTTCTTGGATATCTGAGTGGGCAATAATTCATTTACAATTCATTCTTTTTGTTTTGTTTTGTTTTGTTTTGAGACAGCCTCACTATGTTGCCCTCGGTAGGGTGCAGTAGTGTCACAGTTCACAGCAACCTCATGCTGTTGGGCTTAAGTGATTCTCTTGCCTCAGCCTCCCAAGTATCCTGGACTACAGGTGCCCACCAAAATGCCAGGCTATTTTTTGTTGCAGTTGTCATTGTTGTTTAGCTGGCCTGGGCTGGGTTCAAACCTGCCACCCTCAGTGTATGTAGCTGGCACTGTAACCACAGCACTGTGCTAAGGTCACTGAGCTTTTTTTTTGGGAGATAGAGTCTCACTTTGTCACCTTCTGTAGAGTGTTGTGGAGTTACAGCTCACATCAACCACAACCTCTTGGGTTTGGGTTCAAATTGATTCTCTTGCCTCAGCCTCCCAGGTAGCTGGGACTACAGGTGTCCGCCACAACCCCTGGCTACATTTAGAGACAGGGTCTTGCTCTTGCTCAGCCTGGTCTAGAACTCCTGAGCTCAGGCAATCCACCCACCTGGGCCTCCCAGAGGGCTAGGGTTACAGGCATTAGCCACCATGCCTGGGCACTACAATTCATTCTTCAGCTATACTCGGCACTAAAAAGTTTTGTTTTTATAATTCACTGTGACAGGAAGATTTGTATAGGACATACTCAGTAGTTCACCAATGATTTCATTCTCAGAAAATGAAGAGAATCAAGCACTGTGGCCAGGCCGAGGCAGGAAGATAGCTTGAAGTCAGGAGTTCAAAACCAGCCTGCAGGCTCAGCACCTATAGCTCAACAGGTAGGGCACCAACCACGTACACCAGAGCTGGCGGGTTCAAACCCAGCCTGTCCCTAACGAACAACAATGACAACTGCAGCCAAAAAATAGCCCAGTGTTATGGTCAGCACCTATAGTCCCAGCTAGTTGGGAGGCTGAGGGAGAAGAATCACTTAAACCAAAGATTTTGAGGTTGCTGTGAGCTGTGACACCATGGCACTCTACCCAGGGCAACAGCTTGAGACTCTGTCTCAAAATAAATAAATAAACAAACAAATAAACAAATAAATAAACAGCCTGAGCTAGGCTATGCACAGTGACTCTCACTTGTAATCCTAGCACTCTGGGAGGCTGAGGCAGAACTCTGGGAACCGAGCTAAAGGGTTTGAGACCAGCCTGAGCAAAAAGCAAGACCCCCAGCTCTACTACTAAAAATAGAAAAACTTAGACAAGAGGATCGCTTGAGCCCAAGAGTTGGAGGTTGCTGTGAGCTATGATGCTACAGCACTCTACCCAGGGTGACAGCTTGAGACTCTTCTCAAAAAATAAAATAAAATATAATAAAATAAAATAAAAATTTAAATTGTAATTGCTTTCTGTAAGCATAAATCTCAAATGTGTTTTTTTATGGATTTTAAATCTATGTTTTCTTAATTCTAATGAAATTCTACCCAGGGTGACAGTTTGAGACTCTATCTCAAAAATAAAATAAAATAAAATTTTAAATCGCAATTACTTTCTAGAAGTATGAATCTCAAATGTCTTTTTTTCTGGATTTTTAATCTGTTTTTTTAATTCTAACAAAAAATTGACAAAATGATGTAGATGCAAGTTTGTATAGGTAACTTTTAGATATAAACAATAAAATTATTGGAAAAAGAGTTTTTATTACTCCTATAAAAAAAAGAAAAGAAAAACCAAAATGATTTAGTTAAGAGCACTCATGTAAAGTTTATTACAATGTCACTGCATAGGGAAAAGCTCAAAGCAAGGCAAATTGAAGAGTCACTCTCAGTGGAAAGTAGAATGTGTAATAATCATCATTATTACGCCAAATCCAAAAAGAAAAATGTTAAATAAAGGTCAGTAACTCCACAGATAGGCATCTGTGGCAAGGGATGACTTTAAAACAAATCTTGTTTTTTTCTTTCGATTCTACCTCTTGGAGTTAGAAGAAATCAAAAACAATTTTTGTTTGTTTGTTTGTTTTAGACCAAGTTTCAGTCTGTTGCTCAGACTATAGTGCCCTGGCCTCAGCCTAGTTCACAACAAC